AGTCTGGCCCATTACAATCTTCACTCTGTTGAATTCGCTTAAATGTGCAGCCTTTCCCATCACTTGGAAAAATAAGTGTAAGAATGATTCTTTACCTTCTCCGGAAGCAATTAAGTACCATTCCCACTTAGCCTGTTCTGCCACGGGCATATATGTACGCCTTGCTCAGCTAATGTGTTAAATGCCCAGGTGTATACATATGACCTTTTCAAAATACCATTATTTGCATTGCGACACCTTGACGTAGTATGTGAAGGAGGATACCATTTCACAGCGGGGGGGGGGAAGGAATTGGAGAAGGGAATGTTTCTGAAACGGTGAAAGTAATTGACTGTGCAATTATTGCTAGTCCTTCTGCTTGAGTGAAATGTATTTTTTTTATTCTGTTTTCCTTTTTCGTTTACCATTTGTAATAAGTGCTTTTTTACAAATATGTCTGACAGTGAAGTAGATTACTTTCCATCATCTTCAGGATAGAACACAGAATATGATATTACGTTAGATGAAAAGGATTGCAACTATTCTCTGAAAGATGCTTGATGTTTGGTATGACCTGATATGAAAAACTTGTGTATGGCATCCAACCAATTCAGAAGAAATATGCTTTTTTAGGTATACTGATTTTACAAGGTATAACACTAAAACCTGATACAGTACAAAGTCCAAGATCCAGACTCGTCAGGACTTGAGCGATTCCAGATTTGGGATTTTTCCGGATATTAGATCATCAGTTTAAATTTAGTAAGATGGCAGGTAAAAAATAATAAAATTAAAAATATGAAATCGTAATTTATGAAATAATGGAGCATTTAGGACCTAATGGACATCAAAATTTAGAAAAAAAGCTCAGTATGTATTTGTCTACTTTAATTAACATTTCTTTCAAGTCGTTAAGTTTCAAGTTGTTCAAGCTTCTTTTTCTGTGCTAATAATTTCTCTCTAATTCTATGGACAGATATAATTTCTTGTTCAGTTACAAAGTTCCATTGTTGAAGTCCTGTAATTCCTGTGTCTAGGATTCCGACTAACTTTTCAATCGAAATTTTTTTGTTTTCAGTAACCTCTCTGTCACTTTCTTAACTATTGGTAACGCTATTTTCTGGATCTAGAACCATACTATAGATTTCACCATCCATTAATTGATTGATGATTGAGGAGCATTGTCATCACAATGAAAAACTTTTTTTATAATATCTTCATTTATTACTACTTCTCCATGTTTCTTTACAAAATCGTTAATTAGGAAATTTCACCTTTGGTTGTCAATATCCAAGAACCTTCAGATTCGCGGCTATCATCATAACATTTAGCTGTCAGTCACTATACATATTTGGCTATGTATCATGAGATTGGTGACTAAAGACAAGTTGTTCTGCTCAATTTTATCTTGCTTCTGTCATGCACTGAGACAATTAAGCCTGAATTGTATTAGTTATTTAAATTAAAAAAGTCGAGATGATAATCTGACTAAGCAAGTAAGGATATCTGGATTCTACCTAGCCTTGTTTCCGAAATACATCATAATTGAAAGGTACTAAAGGTGAACAAAAATGTTTTAAGTACTAAAAAGTAGAATAACAAAAATGGTAAACTAGTATTATCAACACATAGTTAAATCTCTTTTGTTTAGAGCTTCAAAATAGAACTTGTTAAGGGAAAAATGTTTTGAAGCTTCAAACAATGTTGATTTACTAGACCAGCTAAAACAAGTTTCGTTCCTACTAATTCAGTGAGACTTGGAATGTAATAATGCAATTAAATCATCAAAAGTAATTAGAAGAATTCTAGTCTCATTGAATTGTCTCTTTTCCCCGACCTGTTTCAGCTGTCTAATATAAAAATTGAAATTCGAAATAAGTAAGTATTTAAAACAATTACAAAAATCGAGATCTATCTAAGTTAGTAAACAGTAAATGTTTAAGTTACTGGAAAAATTTTAAAATCTAAACAGGGCTTATTCCTTGCACATTCTTAAGGCTTACCTGAGTCCTGAATAAATAAATTTCCACATATACTTAAGGCTTACTGAGAGTCAGCACTAGAAATCTTAGCTCCCGATGCAGTCTCTGTGAGTCCTAAATTCTGCTGCTAAACACCTCTCTCTGTCTTCCTTAAATTCTGCCCCCCGATGTGGCCATACGAGCTCTGGCGCTGCTTCTGGGTTTGTACGAATAACAAATCAGTTATTCTTAATTCAAATAGCACTAAATGCATTCTTTTGGCCTATTAATATCATTAACAAAATCTATTTTTAGGAAATGGAAAGACATTTTTTAAAGTTTTTCCTGTCAACATTTCTTAGTGCATTTAACTTAAATCTGTAATCATACCCAATTGTAATGTCAATACAAAAGGCTACCATACTCTTTATTTAATTATTAATATAAAAAATTGTTTAGGCATTATTAGCATGAGTCATTGTGTTGATAAACATGCAGTGATGAAACAAAATGTAATAAATAATGATTCACCAGGTTGGCATCAGGGATATAAAATCAAGGATGTTTATATATAGAATGTTTCGGTTTGAGATGTAGTATGATATGCAGATATGCAGCTATGGAGCCAAATTTTTTATCATACAAATTTATACTAAAATGAATGTTTCTTCAATAACGAGTAATTTTATTCAGTGCCGAAGCGAAATTAAGAATCGGGACTCTTCACATGTTTAATTATGCACAGTTTGGAATCAAATGCACATACGTAAATCACACATACTCACACACAAAAGTCCAAAGGGACTTTTTTTAACGTTTTGTGTGCTACTTTTATTTATTAAATATCATGTTCTTTGTTCTTAAACCATACAATTTAGTTCAACTGTAATGTCGCAAAATAATTTTAAAATGAGTATATCTTTAGAATTTCCGATACTTCCGATACAAGTTTCGCTCGCTGGAGATTAAAAGGTTCTCCCCCCGCAGTAGAGTGTTGCCATTGCTTGCTTTTAAATCGTTGAGTTTGTTGATCAATAATTTGTTAAAGTTTTACAAAATATATGATATGGATAATAATTCATTATCTAATTTCTTCAAATATAATATAGGGCGATATTATTTGGTGGCAACGATTTGAAAAGTGATATGCAGGTTATAGGGTTCCGATGCAAAATCACGAAACGAAAACAATATTCCTTCAGCAACAAAGCACCTTTGGACTAAAATTTAAAAAAAGTTGGTCGTGGCTTTGGAGGTCCGGATTTTAGATCATTCTAGATCTTGAACGCCCGGATCTCAGACTTTGTACTGACTTTGATTCATGGTACACACACTGGAGTTAAAGAAACCTTTGATTTTGAAAGTGGAGGTGGAATGTGTGATATAGATATTAAACAACATGCAAAATTTTCATGTTGCATGCAACAAGCATTTTCAACATGCAAAATATAATGAGCTATTAAAAATTCCCATATTATAAAGATGCTATTACTTGAACATCTAAGATATTAGGATGTTATCACCTGAATTTACTTTCTGCCAAAGGAATGCTTTTACCACCACATTACATTTGCATATTTCTAATTGTGTAGCAGTTATAGTAGCAACATTGTGGTCTTCCAGGAAATGATTAAAATTTAGTGTAATTTTTGAGATATGGGAATTGTTTAGGCATTTGCTATTAGATGATGTTTGACAAGAACAAGGTTTATTTTTAATAAATTTGCTAGTGTTGATAAGGCGATGAGTAACATTCTAAAATATAAATTGAAGCAGAGCTGTATTTATCAAGTAGTGGTTTTATGTGTGTGCATTATATACGAAAGAGGTTGATAATTGCTAAATATGAAAAAAAGTTATAGTATGTATCATGTTCAGAATTATATTAAGCAGCATACTCATTTTAATGATGCCTTTGCTTTTTTTTGAATCCTTTAATAATCAGTAAATCAGAATTTATCTATATGATATTTTTCAGTAGCTACAATGATTTCTTTAATTTATGTAGTAGATTAATGGTATCACCTCACAAAGTCTCTCTTCAGTTTGTTTATTATGTTATGCTGCAAAGTAGTTTACTCTCTGACTTAACCTTCCAGCATGCCCTTTGCAATTTTTACATGAGCACACGCATGTCGTGTTTTTTACGACATCCGTTATTTTACCGTTTTTGGCATGAAAAATTTACAGAAATAAGAATAAATTTGTTAAGAAATAAAATATTAATCTTATTATTGCAAAATACAAATGATATCACATTCAAATATAAGTAAATTATTCTTAAGTTCTTATGTTAGTAAGATGGAAATGCCATGATGTATTTCATTATAGAAAATTTTAAATTTATTATTTAATAATTATATTTAAAATCAAAAACTAATTTTAATATTCATCAAAGACAAGTATAGACAATAAAAAAAGAAAACACCTTGGTAGGGGAAAAAAGTAAGTTTAGCAAGGAAATTTACTTCTTACTGGTTACAAAAACACACTTTAAACTAACTTTAATGTTTTTATTTATTTCTAAAAAATAGAAATAAAAGAAAATAAGGAATGAAAATCACTATTGTTCTCCCATCCAAAGGTTTCCTTATCTTACTTTTCTTCATCAGATAATTCTTGAAGAATCCGAGCAAAATCAGCTGGTTGCACATATTTTTTTGCCATGAAAATCGATATAAAATTTACAGACCAAATGTATTCAAATTAAAATAATACGCAGCAATTAATAACACAAAATTACAAAATATTTTTAAAAAATGATGTCCGAATTTTAAAACACGACCACACGCGTGTCGTAACTTATGAGAAAGCTGCCACATAGCACAAAAAGCCCAGTTAAAAAAAAGTCAAATGACTTCCTGTTGGCACATTCCATGATGTGAGAAAGGGTAGAAAGGAGAAATAGAAATGACCTTCAGACGTCTCAGCTTCAATATGTGAAAAAGGTGCATTAAAAACTGAACTTGTCGTAAATTTTGCGTGTATGCGCGTGCTGGAAGGTTAACTTTTTTTTTGTGGTTATAATAAATGCTGGTAACATGACTAATCTTTTTTTAGTACACTTGCTGGGAAGCGATTTCAGCAAATGCAACAGAAGTTAGAATTATTACAGGATGAACTCTTCAAAATTGAAACCGGTTGGTGTATTTTTAAAAACTATTATTGAAGTTTGTGCTTGCATAATCAAGTTGTTTCCTTGTGTCAGTTTTTTTGTCTTTTCAGTAAAATTTCTATACTCTTAAAGGATAGAATTATAAACTCTTAAATTTTTGGATAAATTTTCATTTGTTGATGTGAATTGCAATGCTTTTGATTTATGCATTTAAGTTTTGGTGACTGAAGAATGAATGGATATCATGAAAATACTGAATTTAAATAAGATATTTTGAAACCTAATTGTATTTTCATTCATTTTAAGTTTATTTCATGAAATATGCTATTTGATTTCATTAAATTTTTTGTTTTGTAAATATTTTACTTTGACCTACATTTTGTTATATGTTATTTTTTATAAAATATATATATATATATTGAGTATGAATACTGTATAAAACAATTTAAGCTTATGACAAAAGTATGGCTAGTTTGAAGAATATAACAGAACATGCAATTTTTTAATAATCTAAATATCACACATGCAGTTTACTAATAATCTAAATATCACACATGCAGTTTTCTAATTATTTAAATTTATGTGTACCACACTAGTAATTTTATATTTAAATTTAGCCACATATATTAAATACTAAAATTAGTGCTAAATAAATAGGCTATTATTTCATTTAGTGTAATAATACACTTTCGTTCAGAGTGTAATAATAATGCTTTATTTAATAATACATTTAGTGTATGACTTATTCCTTTCTTTTTTCCTATTTATTTCATTTTGACCTCCGGTACACTGTTGTAGGCAATTGGCCAGTTTTATTTAAGCTGGTGAGAGACATGATTTGAAAAACCATTTTATCACTGGCACTTGGTTTATATTTTTACATTTGGCCAGATTCTGCGTATAAAATAAATATGCTGTAATTTTTCGTCATTTCTTTGTGTGTTAATTACAATTAATAGATTTTAATAAAAGTCAAATATTTTATGTATAAATAATCAAAGTAACTTTTAATTTTTAAATGGAATGTGCAATTTAACTGTTTGAATAGTTGAAATGCATTTATTATTTTTTTACATAAAAAAAGCTTTTAAGATTGTTTATTTTAACCGTTTAAATTGTTGAAATGCTTTTATTTTTTCATGTAAATTAAGCTTTTAACTTCTGTTTATTTTTTAGTTATCCTCATTATAAAAATAGCCTAATTAGTTAGCTATTTGGTTATTTCAAATCATAGTAAAAGCATGCTATAAAATAGTAGCTGTCACATTACTGCCAGAACTAATGCTTTCTTGCAACTATGAGGCAGAATTTAAGCATGCATGACAAGGATAGTAATTTAATGGTGACACAAATATCCATGGAGAATTTTGCAAATTATAGGGATTTTGTGAACTTCTGTGAATTCTAATTAAACTGGTAAATTTCAGTTTTCCCTGTTATTTATTTTTTCCCTATTTTCATTCTACCTGTTGGCTTATTTTTCATATTTAAATAATTTGAATATGTGTATTAACAGGGTTCACAGCGGTCCTTACAAGTGCTTATAAGTCTTTATATATGAAAATAAAATATAAATTCCTTACGTTTTCTCTAAAGCACTATTTTTTGTTTTTAATGTTTTTTTTTTTTTGAAACAAACGGGCATTTTTCCCCCATACCAAAGCCGAAACTAAACTTTATTATCATTTAACCGGATATTAAACCGGATATTATCATTTCAAAGGCCGACAAAGGTGGCCAGATAGTCGTCATGGATAAGAACACTTACATCGATGGTGTCACTAAACTCTTAAACGAAGGACCATATAATCTGATCCCTAAAGATCCTTCACCTTCGGACTTATCCAAAATAAAAACTGCGATCAAATCTTCGCAAATCATTTCAAGCAACTTAAAACATTCGCTTATCCCATCTGTTGCGAATTGTGCCAGATTATATGCTCTTCCCAAAATTCATAAAAGTGGTATTCCTTTCCGCCCTATTGTATCAAATTTAGGTACTGCCTCGTATCCATTAGCTAAATATTTAGTTTCTAGATTTTCCACTCTATTAGACAATAACATTTACACCATAAAAAATTCAATAGAGTTTGTAAAAAAGGTTAAAACATTTCTCCTAGTAATTTACTCATGGTTTCTTTTGATGTAAAATCATTATTCACCAATGTCCCAGTGGAGGGTGCATTAATCTGTCTAGAAACCAGACTTCGCGAATTTCATTTCTCTTGCATCGAAATTGAGGAGCTAATTTCTCTCACTCAACTCTGTTTGAAACAAACACATTTTGTTTTCCAAAATAAATATTACAAGCAAACTGAGGGATTAGCCATGGGAAGCCCCCTCAGTCCCATCCTGGCTGATATCTACATGCATTATTATGAATCAAAATTGTTTGAAACTTTAAACTTCCCGGCATGGTTCCGCTACGTAGACGATACTTTTACCCTGTTTGAAGGTAATAAAGATGATTTAAATAAAGTTCTTTCAACAATGAATTCTATTGATCCTGCTATTCAGTTCACTTTTGAACTTGAGACTTGCAATTCTCTTCCGTTTCTCGACATTCTGGTCACACGTAACACATCCAACTTCAGTACTACAGTTTACCGTAAACCTTCATCGGTTTGCCTTCCACCACACTTTAAATCATGTCATCCGACTAAACAAAAGTTAGCTTCATTTTATTCCTATGTTTTCCGTGCTCTTCAAGTTTGCTCCTCCCAACTAGCCCTTGATGAAGAACTAAATTATTTAAAAGCAATAGCTATTGACAGGGGCTTTTCACCCAACATTATTAATCAAGCAGTTAAAAAATTTTCATCTCAACACACTAAAAGCCACACTCTTATTTTAGGAGATTATAAAAATTCTGTTGTCATTCCCTTCTTTCCATCAATTAGCTAAAAAGTTGCACATATTTTGCAGAAATTTAACTTTCGGGTTGTTTATTCTCCCATCAATAAAATGCCAACTTCTATACTCAAGGACCCCATTCCAGATATGAATTCCTGGGGTATTTATAGGATTCCTTGCCAGTGTGGTTTAATTTACATTGGCCAAACTAAGAGAGCCTTAAAATTTCGCGTCAAAGAACATGAGGCATATGTTAGAAAAAAGGAAACACAGAAGTCTTCTGTTGCTCAACATTGTTGGTCCGAAAATCACACTTTCAATTTTTCTGCTGCCAAAATTATTCAAAAAACATCTTCCATTGGAAAACTGGATTTTCTAGAGGCATTTCACATTCATAAAAATCTTTCTGTTCTAGTTAACGATCCTAATTCCAATCCAAATTTGCCTTCGGCTTTTAGAGAAATTATGTTTTAGTTCTGGTTTCGCCAACAGATGGCGCCACTTGCTTATTCTTGTCCAGGCTTTCTTATCTTATCTAATCATTATTTCCTATCTTGTTCATTTGCGGTTTTGCAGCTGAAGATGATGGTTCGGTAAAACCATCGAAACTAGTCCTGTGAAAAGTTTGTAAATATAATGCTGATTTTTGTTGTTTGACTTCTGAATTACTAATAAAAGTGTTAATATGATTTGCTGGCTATAGCTTTTCACAAAATTCTTAATGTAACATTTGTGTTGCAAAATCATTTTTAGTTTTCATTGTTTACTGCATGAATATTGCTACACCTTTTTAAAGATAATTTAAAGTTCTAATGTTAAAATACAAAATATGAATCAAAATCTAAGGTTTCTTAATTTTGTTTTTCATTGCTTGACTGAATAAAAATGTACCCCTAATAAAATATGTATTGTAAAAGGAAGCTAGTTACGAATAAATATATATTAACTAGATTTGGATTATTAAAAAATATATTTAATATGAGAATGAACTTTCGATTGTAAAATAAATTCTAATAAATTATGCTCTGTATTTGATAAAAAGTGTTTTAATAGATAGAGACATGGTCAGTGTGTGCTGCTAGATTGCAGATGTTTTGATGCAGTGAGTCATTTTTCAATTTAATTGTTAAAGGACACAGTAACTTTAGTGTCTGTTTAGATATGACAGTTTCAGCAGAAAAACATTATATCTTCAATATTAAATAGCCTTAAAAATTTTTAATACAGTTTCCCAAGAATCTAAAATTTTAAATTTGTCAAATTAAACATCTCAAATTAAAAAAGAATAATTTATTCATAAAAAGACGTGTTTTCTGCTATGAGAAGCTTACTAGGAAACCAAAAGTAATCAGAATATTTTGAATAATTGTAAAGACATAGATTAACATTTTACATTGGGAATTATCTTCATCTCTAAAAATTTGAAGTTTTTATTATATCGTTTTGTTCTTACTAAAAAAGGAGGGTTTTGAATTGTGCTATCTATGGATGTGGTATGATTTGAGGTCTTTGTTAAACTTTTATGTGATTATTTGTGTTTTTGAAAATTTCTGTTAGTTTAATATATAGTAATTTTATATTGAATTAGGCAGAGATGAACTTAAAGCCAAGGTTGAAAATCAAAAGAAGGAAATTGTTGATCTCCAACAAAAAGTATGTGGCCATTTAAAAAAACCTTAATTTTTCATTATTTTCTAAATAAGAAATCTAATTCTTTATAATAAGTTCTAATAATTTCTTATAAATAATTCTTTATCCCCTCATGTAGTGAAAGAAATTTGCTTAAGGAACGTAAAATGTAATTTTTAAGTCTCTTACGTAATATGACAATTAAGACTACATGCAAACACAGATAATTCTGTCAAGTATTAATTTGGAAACAGTATCTAGTGTTGCTTTTATCAACTTACTTATTGTTGGTGATGGGCATTTAAGTAATAACCATTATGCAGTCATTGTAAATATTGAAACAATCAATTAGAAAATGATGCTGTGTAGTAGTTGTTGAATATATATTTTTTAATAGCTTAACATATTTCTATATTGTAATATGCCTCTTCATCATGATATTCTTGTTGTAAGCTAAGTCTTACCTGTCAGTGTCTAGGGGAACACATACATTAAATCCAAATGAATAATTAACTGAGTTTTGACGCTGATTATCAAAAAATGATTACACATATGAAACAGGATGAAAATATGTGTAAGATAACAAGTATTATACTGATGAAAATTCCATTATCCCATCTCTGCACAGAGTCTAACAGGTATGTCTTCATCTTGTACCACCTTCGTGTTCTCTCTTGGTTTCGTTCAGTGCCGTGGTATGTCATCTGTCTGCTGTGGAAGATGTCATCGTATATATCCCATCCATTCTGACAGCATGTGTCCTCACATGCTGGAAAAAGTGAATGTTGTCAGGGAATATGAAAAATTTTAAGTGAAAAAGAGAATTTTAGGTTGCAGTGAGAGAAAACCTTTGGATTATTCAGTCAGCCATCTTCAATCTAATATTGTTGGAGTAAATCCCATATGGATACATCTTCTTAAATGTTGTCTACTTTAAAGCCTCTTTGTAAACGTGTTTCATCTTTAGACTCCTCTTGATTTTTCTTAATAATGGTTCATGTCTTTATCTGTACCTTTAAAACAAATAGTCTGTCAAGTTGGGAAAAAGTCTTAGTGCAGGAATCGTCAAAATTGGTGTTGCAAAATCAGTATAAAATTATTATTACCGTATTTGACGGCATATAAGATGCACTTTTTTCCCTAAATTTCGTCTCAGAAAAGTTACCCGTGTCTTATACGTAAAGGACGCAGGTTAACTTTCAATACTGAATGCTATTTTTAGCCCGGATAAAGGCCTAGACACACATAACTTTTTCTACATCTACATGTGTGTGGCCTTCTAAATAAGGGTGCATCTTATGCCGTGAAATACAGTATTTTAATTTTCTTCTTGGATCTTCTGAATCTGCTTTTTTGCTTCATTTTTCTCTCCTTTAGTTTCTTCTGTTCCATTTTTGCTTTCTGCATCCAATTGTCTTTGTCATCAGATTTTACAGCAGCCTTCCAATTTTCAGCCTTCTCCTTTTCTTTGAGGGTCTCAGCAGATTCTGCATTTTCAGTAGTTTCTTTTGCTTTTTGATTTCAGGGGGTTGCTACTGAATTTTTTTTAAGACTTGGCATTTGATTAGTCATCTTTAGCAACTGACACTTCCTCGGAAAAGTGCTTTTCTTTCATAATCTCTTTCTATGGTGGCATCTTTCCTCAATGGCTTCAAATCTGATTATGTTGTTTCCTTGATTTTCCTCTTGCACTGATTCATTGTTGATGGAACCTTTTTCATTCACAGAGGAATGAATATCACTTGGGGTGCAATCAGAATTCACTATTAGAGTATCATTCACTTTGACTGTAGATCACTGTTTGATCACATATGTATCGAGAGGCATAACTTCTTTAGGTAATGAATGAATAATTTAGCCAGTGTGTAAGCAATACAGTTTGCTCTATATTTTTCAATTTTCTTTCAACTTTGGAATAAAAAAAAAATTATTTCAAATGCTGTTCACTAAATTTTGTATCAAAATGACCTTATTTATGTGCATCTTCAACTACCTCAATTTGCATGATTTCAGGTGCTACCAGTACATCAGTTCCATCCACCATTTTGTAAAATATGTCATTTTGTAACCAATAATCCTCTCATGGCTTAGACTTCAAAGCTTCTTTTATAGCTTCCTTCCGTATTTGATTGGTTTCTTGAGCTTGAATAATCGTAAATGTTACCCAGTCTTGAATTCTGTACATACAGGGTTTCTACTCATTGTTGACCATGCTACATGTAGGTACCAGATCTGTGTTCAATTGTAATCTTGTATTAATGCCAATAAAGATATTTTAGTACAAATGTCTTCCTTGCAGATAGTTTGTTTGAACATATTGCAATCTCTCACAAAATTTTAAATAGAATGCCTAATATGCAAACTCTAAACTTTTTGAGAGCCTCTACTCTTTAGCTTTTAATTAGTAGCTTAAAATTTATATTTGATATCTGTCGTCTTCGATATATGCTTATATTATAAATTGGATACATCGGGTTATCAGTTCTAGGTTTAGCAAGACTTTAACTCTAGACTCTTAACTACATCATTGTGGTATTTCCATTTCTGCTTTCAGAATATGAATACACAAATCAGGTTTAGGTGACAAGATGCATTTATATTTGTTGAAAGCATAACATTCTTTATCTTCAAATTTAAAGTCCTGATCTACTTTGACATGAAGAAACCGATTTTTCAAGTCTGTTAATCAACTGATGTAATATATGCTGTTGGCGATTCTAATTTATCAGTAATGTCAATTAATGGCAACAGAAAGTGATTGTGGATTAATTTTTATTCAGTAGTCTATGTATAACCAATACAAGCCATTTTTCTTTTAGTTTAATACAACATCACTTGAGTAATCAGAGCACTTTATTGAATATTTATTGGTTTTATGATTTGTTTATCTAATCACTCAAAAATCTGTTTATCACTTTCATGCTGCTCTTTGGGGGAGAAATGTCTCGCTGCATAATAGATTGGAAACTTGTCTGTCAACATCAGTCTCTCTTCAGAGTAGATGATTTTTTTATATTATTCGTATTATAATTCCATTACTAATCGCAATATTTCATCACTAAGGATTGCATTTTTAATATGGCTAAAATCGATTTCCTCATCATTGTACAGGGTTTGTTTTTATTTAAAGGCCTTAGATTTTCTGGAAACAATTTTTGGTCTTTAAAAAGTCATTAATTTCAGTAAAAATCAGCAAAATGTTCTTAATTTTACCAATCTGACTCTGTTTTTTTAGACTGCCATTTTGAGTTTTTGAGTGTGAATTAACATTTTGAGGAATATTTATTGCTGATGCATGGACAAATATGTATCTGATGGGTTAACATTTGAATTCCTTCTTACTTAATATAAATGGTGGAGCAAATTTTCCTTTTTTTTGGGATATGAGTTCTTTTATTATACAACACTAAATCTGGTGACTTATCAACATTCTAGTGATTTAAAGACCAGGTGGCATACAAAATTTTATTTGGAGATCTGAGAATTTTTGTTACAAACATTGATAAATATGACAAAATAATTATAATATATTAAAATTATATTTAAGAAATAACATTGAGATAAAACATTTTTATCTTCTGCTGCATTTTAAAGTGATATTACTTTCTGTTTTGGTGACTTGTGGTGACTGGTGGAATATTTTGATTCTGAAAGATAAAAAATGTAATAAATGTTCCAAAACACAGTTTCCAAATCATATCTTAGAAACAACAGAATGCTACTGTAATTATTAAAAAATTAATATAATTTGTCTTTCATATTTTTTCATGATAAGATTTACCCCCCCCCCCATGTAATTATTTTGGAATGCTTAAATGTTTATCAATTTTCTTTTGAAAATTCACTTCACGTTTCTCTTTTCTTAATTTATTTCAAAATTCTTCTGGCTTTTTACTAATTTTTCTTTTGGATTTTAGACCTTGCACCTTGGAAGATTTAAAGGCAAGATTTATAGACCTACAATTTCCAGGACAATGTGATGAAATAAAAAGTGTCTTCATGGTATTAACACATATGGGACAAATTTTATAGGGAATGTATGATGAATTTCTTATCCATTGGAGAATTTTTTAAGAGCAGTGAAAACAAAATTATTTTAATTTTCTCATTTTGATCTCAGAAGTTTTTCTCTTAATATGTTTATCTTCCATCTATTTCTTATCTTTTCACTAGACATTGAAGCAATCAAAGAAAGCATGGAAATTGTAAACTGACATATTAAAAGATTCAACTTATATGTCTCAGTGCACCATACATATCTTTGTGTTTGCTGCAAATTCCAAAAATCTTGGTATCTCTAAGTTTTGTTGCTCAGTGGTTCACTAAATTCTAAAAATTCTCCCACAATGGCTCTGGCACCAGCCCCTGGGCTTATATCATTTCATATTGTTAAAGAAATAAAAGTGGCAGTTTCTTCTATGCATTCTAAATACAATTAATTCTGCAGAATAACATATGTGTAATTAAATTTCAAAGTTCTGAAGTTAATAAAAATTGATTTTATAAGCAGAGTTATAATTGTTCAAAGGTGCATTATTGAAGCATTAGCAAATTAGAAGATGTAGCGGAAAGTAGTGGAAACCTTGATTTGTTTACTGAAACAAACTTCGAAAAGGTGCTGAAGAGAAGGAAATTGATGCAAATTAGTCAAAATATCTGCAAATTTTCAAACTAAAAAGACGTATAAGTATTTTGTTGCACTAATATCACTTTAGAATCAATATCATAAATTTTAACTGCTTTAAAATGTTAAGAGCTTTTTTAATGGGTATTCTTTAGAAATAAAGAAAAAAATTTTATTTTAACCATGTAAATCTGTTATGACTAAGGATATCTAACTACTTAATTTAATTATTTGTAACTAGCTGCTCACCTGTAGAAGTAATCTCTACATGCTAAGATGAATAATTGCCTTCTCTTAATCCTTATTTTGGATATGCCACTTGACACAAAATTTTCATAAACCTCTGAATAGAGTGTTTGTGATGAAATGACAAGTGAAGGGAAAAAAAAAACCCCATTAT